TCATAATTATGGCATAAGAGACTTGGCCACCTGAGTGAAAAAGGCTTAAAAATTATATCATATGAAGGGGTTTTTGGAAAAGAAAGTGTTCAAAAATTAACTTTTTGTGAATATTGTATAATGGGAAAACAAGCTATGCTGCCATTTAAGGCAGGGCTGCATAAGTCTCAAGACGTTCTTGAATACATACATTCTGATTTATGGGGACCTGCCCCTGTGCCAACAGTATTTGAAAACAGATATTATCTTCTTATCACTGATGATTACTCAAGGAATTCTTATTAAAATCAAAATCTGATACTTTTATAACTTTTAAAGATTGGAAAGTGCATGTTGAAAATCAGACAGATAAGAAGATAAAATTTTTAAAAACTGACAATAGCCTTGAATTTTGTAATACAGAATTTGACGAATTTTGTAATAAGCAAAGGATTATGAGACATAAAACTGTGAGTTATACTCCTCAACAGAGTGGAGTTGCTGAGAGGTTAAACAGAACTATTCTTGAGAGGACAAGGTGTATGTTGATTAGCTCTGGTCTTCCAAAAGTTTTTTGAGGAGAGGCAGTAAAAACTGCGTGTTATTTGATCAATAGATGCCCTTCTAGTTCTTTAAATAATAAAATCCTTGAGCAAATCTGGTCTGGCACAATGCCAGACTATTCATATCTTAGAACCTTCGAATGTGCAGCTTATGCACATCACACAGATTCAAAATTGGACCCTAGATCACTGAGGGGTGTGTTTGTAGGATATGGAGAAGGAGTTAAAGGTTATAAAATGTGGTTAAAAGATGTGAGAGGGTATAAGGTGATAATAAGTAGATCTGTTATCTTTAATGAAGATGACTTTCCCTGTCTTAGTGACAAATCTGGAGAAAAATTGGGAAATGATGAGTTTATCACAACTGAAATAAATATGAAGAAGGAGATTTTAAACGACCAAACTCAGTTTGAGGTGAAGCCACATCAGGTAGAACCACAAATTATTTCAAATGATGAAATCCTTAAAGATGATCAACATCTGGAGCCTGCAAATGACCTGCAAGACTACCAGCTTGCTAGGGATAGGGAAAGAAGGCAAATAAGACCTCCTTCCAGGTATCAGTATGCTGATTTTGTGTTTGCACAATTTGAACCTGACCTATTTAACATAGAACCTACCTCTTATAAAGAGGCTATCTCTTCCAAAGAATCCTAAGTGGATTGCTACAATGGAAGATGAGATGAACTCCCTACATAAGAATAAAACCTGGATCTTAGTTGAAAAACCCAAAGATTTTAAATTGATTGCTTGTAAATGGGTATTTAAGGTCAAAGAAGGCGAGATCAAGACAAATTATAAACGGTATAAGGCAAGACTTGTAATTAAAGGCTTCAATCAAAGAGAAGGTATAGACTACACTGAAATTTTTTCACTAGTAGTTAAATATACATCTATTAGAGTTTTGCTTGCTATAGTGAGACAATTTGATTTAGAGTTAGAGCAACTTGATGTGAAAACTGTCTTCCTGTATGGTTCTTTAGATGAAACTATACATATGACATAACCAAGAGGGTTTGAAGTAAAAGGTAAGGGGAACTTAGTGTGCCTCTTGAAAAAAACATTATATGGCCTAAAACAGGCCCCTAGGCAGTGGTATAAAAGATTTGATTCTCTTATACAAAGTATGGATTTTAAGAAAGCAAAATATGATCCATGTTTTTATCATAAAAGAGATAGTGAATCTGAATGTTTTTATCTTCTCTTGTATGTTGATGATATGCTCCTTGCTGGTCATAATTCTGTTGCACTTAATTCAATTAAAGAAGGGTTGAAATCAAAATTTGAAATGAAAAATTTAGGACCAGCTAGGAAAATTTTGGGCATGGTAATAAAAAGAGGTAGAATAAATGGAAAATTGTTTCTAACACAAAAATCTTATATTGACAAGGTAGTTAAAAGATTTTCTCTTCAAGATGCTAAGCCTGTTAGTTTGCCCTTATCTGCTGGTATGAAATTATCTGTTGAATAATCACCTAAAACTGAAGATGAATATAAGAGAATGACAAATGTTCCATATTCTAATGATGTTGGGTCAGTAATGTATGTTATGGTTTGCTCTAAACCTGACATTGCTTATGCTGTGAGTATGCTGAGCAGATTTATGAGTAACCCAGGCGAATTGCATCGACAATGCATGAAAATTTTGATTAAATATCTGAAAGGAACAAGTCAGTTAGGTCTAATGTTTAAAACTAATAAAAATGGACTTCCATTAAAGGGTTATGTGGACTCTGATTCTGATGAAAATTTAGATAATATGAGATCCACAACAACATATTTTTATGTTATTAATGATACATGCATTAGCTGGAAATCTCAACTTCAAAAACTAGTTGCATTATCTTCAACCGAGGCTGAATACTTTGCTACAACTGAGGCAGTAAAAGAGGGATTATGGTTGAAGGGGTTACTTGGTGAATTAGGTCTTATAGAAAATAAGGTGGAGCTGTGTTCTGTCAATCAAAGTGCAATTTTTTTAAGTAAAAATCCTATTTTGCATGATAGATCCAAGCATATAGATGTAAAATTCCATTTTATTAGAGATATCATTGATATGGGTGATATTAAATTGATCAAAATTCCTACTAAGGTAAATCCTGCAAATGCTAGAACAAAGGTAATCCCTATTACTAAATTTTCTGATTCTTTGAAATTAATTAATCTTGAAGAGTACTAACTTTGTTTATTTTGTAGGTAAACAGAGCAAGTGAAGTTAGTATTAAGTTCTTGAATCCACTTATGAACAATCACAAAATGCAGCAAAAGGTGGAGATTGTAATGTTTGGTTTGCTGAATTTTGTGGCTCAGTTAATATTAATGGACTGAGATGTTTGGTCCAAGTTTGGAGACTCGATTTGTGATCCAATTAAACTAGAGATTCTGGAATAGAAATTGTTGAGTGCGCTTTCTCTAGATGATGGACAAGTGGCACGCTTAAAATCGTTGGATCAAATAAAAGGCTCTATCTCTTATAAAGACTCGGCATGTCTCTAGGGTTTTGAGATTTCATCTAGCCGCTTCTCTCCGCTTCCTCTTGTTCTCTGAATAATCTGAAATTCTCTCCTTTTTGAGTGATTTTGAGAGTTTATTTGATGTTAGAACGTACTCTTATGTGAGTTCACGTTATTGTGAGGAGATTTAGTGATTGAGAGAGAGATAGAACTGTGTGTTCTTGTAATCTGACTTTCTTGCCTATTTTTGGGGCGATTCATGGTGGATCTTGAGCTTAATCCTTGTGGATGCTCAACGGGAATGTAAGCGTTGGATTTGGTCGCCGAACCTCGGGGCCTTTGGGCCGAAAAATCTTGTGTTTCTTTATCTTGTTATTTTCTGCTTTGTGTGTGTTCGATTTACATGACATTACGCAAATAATTTTCTAAGCATAACATACCAAATACCCGAAGAAATTTCATCAATGTTTGTACACGGGCGATGAGACTTGGGGTTTTTTCCTTGTTTGTTCTTATACTTGCTTAGCTTTTGCAGTAGTGGTAGTAGTATATCCCCCAAGATTCTTCTTAGGAAAATTTACAGAGTACAGTTTACATTTAGGACTACTAATATATTGCATTCCGTGTTTTTTTTTTTTTTAATAAACAACACATGTAGAGAGCATATTCCACTGTCCACATCTATCCTCGCATATTGTACATATAAGTACACGAAATGGAAGGTTTCATTCAGCAAATGAGTAATATAGGAAAGGAAAGGAAACATATGCATTACTCTGAGGCATGACATATTAAGGTTTATAAACTATAGATGTACGATAATTCATAGAGGCACCATCTAAGGACTCTTGTGAATCCAGAGGAAAATAGAAGGGATAAAGTTCGTATCTCAGGTAGCAACTGCTGTATAAAACTCGACAACCTTTCTTGTCTTCGCAAAACGTCGGAAGATTGCCTATGGCAATGGCAAGGCACTCGGCACAACCTTGCTGCGATAGATCCCTAGTGCATTGCACCAAGGCATAGAGAGTATTAAAAGGTGTAAGTTTAGTCTTTGCTTTTCCAAGACCTTTGTTCCCAGGCAAGATAGCTTCTGAACTAATCTTATCCATCAGGGAACCTAGTTCTTTATTGAATGTATCAGGATCAGGATCTGTTACATTCTGAACATTGTAATAGTAAATACCGAAACCTGTGTCCACTTGTCCGAAGAAGTTCTGTGTACTATACCTCAGAAAGCAATATTCATACCAAATCCTAGAATCAGATTGGTTTGGACAGCGCTTACGGATTTCGTTTGCTGCATCTTGGATACAAGTCGAGCAGTCTTCGCTACCAACGTCTCCTCTACATTGCGCCAGGCCGTAGACTTGCGCTTCGCCTTTACCATACGAGGTTGTAATGAACCCGTATTGAGACGTGCCTAGTACTAACTTAGGCAAGAGGCTATCGATATTTTTGGATATTTCGGTGTTTGTTATTTTAGTACTGTCATCACAGAACTGACCCGACGGATCTACAGATTCTGCAATCAGAATGTAGCAGAAGAATAGGAAAAGAAAATGGTATATGGGACTCATGGGTTCACTTGCGATTTATGTAATAGCTTGATTGCTTGCCTTTTATAGCCCCTCCTTAACAAGACATTTTTTTTATTTTTATGTGTCTAATAATTTATTGTGTGAATGTTTGATTTAAAAAAAAAAAGGTATATAAAAAAGAATTTTGAAAGAATGGAAGATAGACAAGTAGTATAGTTGGCATCTCTAGAATCTTGACAATTCTCATATTATTGGTGGATGATGACGTGGCAAACACAGCAGACTTTGTTGACTTTAATAAACGCCCTACAATTTGTTGCATTGATTGGAGAAATTGGGCAGTGCTCAAAGAATATAATAATTCTTGGGCCCTATTTCATCCAGCTAAAAAAATTAATTAAAATTCAATTAAAAATTAACAATTAATTTTAATCACAAATTTCATTTAACTTAATACATCAACATATTCTATCAAAATTTATCAAAATTTACTAATTTAAATCAAATCAGGACTCTAGAATGTCATAGAAAATTAGATAGTACAGAATATTGGAATGTGCCTTACCTTTTATTTAAGACAATGCAGCATTCTAGAAAGTTGAGTTAAACTGATTCATTTAAGCTAATCAGTCGTGCTAGGCGTACAGGTCCAGCACTTACAGGGATTTTACCGACCACTCACATAGGTGGGGTCGGTTATTATTATTATTATTATTATTATTATTTTGCATTTTTTATGATGTCGGGGCCCACATCCAGGTGAGAGAAATGAGAGAGGGGGCTTCTACCAGGCTGGTTTGGCAGATGAGCATTTTCCTAAGCGAATAATTCTACTTTTACAAAGTTGGTGTACAAAAGTGGAGTGTGAAAGTGTGTTGACAAAATCTGGACCCTTGATTTTAAATAATTTAGAATTTTATTTTTGAAATAATTGGTGTAGATTTGATTTTGTAAGCCCTTTTGTCATCGTAGCATAGCTCTTTCCTAAGCTAATTGCCTACTTTTATTATATTTGACTTCTGAATGCTTCTCAAATGTCTTCCTTTTGGCTTTTTTTTTGGTCGACATATTCAAAGATTAATTCAATGGAACTCTTGGCTCACAAGGGTTGCCAACCTAATTTAATTTTACGTTTTAATTATTGAGGGAAAAAAAATATCTCTTATTTTGCAATATAAAAGTTTAAGATGTAGCCCACGTTTGGTCCCATAAAATTACATTTTATTTTTCTCTCATATTTTTTAACCACACAATTTTTCATAAAATAATATTATACGTAAATCGAAAACATTTCATTCTTTTTCAGCCACTTATTTTCAAAAAAATACTATTTCACCCATTTTCATTACAAAAAATGGGGGCCAAACGGGAGCATAGTTCTATTAGCTATTTGTAATTTTGGACTAGTTGTCCATGTCTAAGTCAAAAAAATGTCATTAATTATTTAGTAAACAGACAAGGCAGTGTTTGCCACCGTTTGGCCTCCATTAAATTTCATTTCATTTTTCTCTCTCTTATTTTCAATCACACAATTTTTCATAAAATAATATTACACGTAAATCGAAAATTTTTCCTTACTTTTCAACCACTCATTTTTCAAAAAAAAAAATTATATATATATATATATATATTATTCCACCCATTTTCATTTAAAAAAATGGGGGCCAAATGGGGGCTTTGTTTATAAATTTTTTTAACTTGTGGGTAAACAAATAATTTCAAATCTACGTACATAGTACAAAAGTTTAGAATTTTGATTCTAATACTTGTCAAATAATTTTAGTTTATTTCATTGATAATTTTGGGTAGGTCGTTGTGCTCCAAACAGGACAGTTGAAGAAACTTTTAAATACATTACTTTGAACATTTTATTAAATTAAAAGCGGCCAATATAAATGGTCTAATAGTTGGTTTGTAATTATCTAATTTTGATGAAAGGCATTATCTTCAATTATTTGGATCGGAACCTTCGACGTTCACTGTTCCCATAAACTGACTTCGTCACTGGCTAAAGCTATGTATTCCACAAAGCGCACGTTGTGGCTGATATTGCTGACTAATTTATTTTGACAATTTTTCTGGTTGTGTCTTTGTCAATAACTAGGATTTAATGGAAATTTGAACTGAATTAAATTTCTACATGTAAATATAATTTTTGCCTTGAAACTTTCTTATATAAATAAAATTTTATATCAAAAGTTTCTTTTAAGCATTTTTTTTTTCTATACATATGTTTGAACAACGTATTCTATTGCTTAAAAGAATTATTAAATTTGTGTCAAAATATTGAACTTACTTATTTTTAACTATTATTAAGATTTATTTTAAAATTTACTTACTTTACATAAATATTTGAAGACTTTTTTCCTATTTTTAAGTAAACTTATTATAAAAGTAATTCTTATGTTACTTTAATTTCAAAACAAAGAACTTATTTATTATAAGATGATTATGAGTGGAAGGAATTAGGGTGGATATGATTATGATATATTAAGATGTATTATTACTATGACATGTTTGTATTGTGTAGTATTATAAAATGTACAAGTATTTAAAAATAAAAAAAAGTACAATAATATTTTTGGCTAACTTTAAAAATTATCTTTTAAGTAATGTTTGCTTATAGGCATAGTAAATTTATCTTATTTTTAAGTGAAAAATATATATTTTAAAAGTAATTCTCACATTTTTTACAAAATAAATAAATTACTTTGAATAATTAAAAAAATTATTATTGCCTTATACTTAAGTAAATTACTTAGGATTTATTTGGCATGACTTTTACTTCCTATAGAAAAACTTATTGAGGAAGTTATCTTAATTTTTTATTTAAAGATAATTTTTAAAAAAGTTTTCTATTCCGAAAATAGTTTTAGGGGAAGTTATAATGCTGCTGTTTGGCCCCCATTAAACCACATTATTTGTCAATTTTTCAAACCAATGCAGGGCCCACTTGTCATACAATTCGGATTGTGGTACATGCGTGTCACAGGAGGCCACATTTATGTGGCAGCACAAAGTTACGATCCTGACCTCCCAACCACTCCCTTACTCTTGACAAAGGAGGGTGTTTTCGTCATTTGGGCCAACATTCCACTTAAAAAAAGGGGGCTCCATGTAAAATGTTCAATGATGTTGCAGTTGTGGAGCCCACTTGAGTCAAGAAAAAGGAGGTTGAAAATTGGCAAAACATGTAATATAATGAGTAATATTGAACCAACTTCATATAAAAACTCTTTTAACTAAAAGAAGTATTTTATAATATTAATCAAAGGAGTCTAAAAACAATTTTCAGGTCTCAAAAATTCATTTTGACTTCTCAAAAGCCTTGTTAACATAGGCACTTAGTTACATAGAATTCACCTTGTCCCCAAAAAAAAAAAAAAAAAAAAAAAAAAAAAATTTATAGTCATAATTTTCACATTATTATTAAAATAAGTAACTTGTTCTTAATCTTGAAAGGTCAACTGTTTATTTTAAAACTTTACCTAAGAGTAAATAAGTAAATCTACTTTTATTAATCCAACTCTTTTTCTATTATTCGTTACATTTCTTATGAGCATACATAAGGAAATGAAAATTCAGTCCGAAGTCGCTGGCGAAATTATTTTAATCGTTAGTGGAGGATAAGCTATTCGAATTAACATAGTTCGGATATAATTTGCACCAAACAATATTTATCTGAAAATAAAACTCATCACAAGGTTACATGGTTTCTAATTCAAGGCCTTTGATCAAACATTTCTGATTTCTTTGTTAGCCTTTGCTCACACATGGTTTGTTCAACCTCGTTTTGTTAATTTGTATGTCAAAACCAAGAGTGACAAGTCATTCTAGATATGCATGCATACAACGAAAAAGTGATATTATATCACTTGCAAGGTCCGACCCGATGTGAACTCTAAAGTTGGGATCTCAAGTCAAGTGTTCAATTTTTATTTTTTTTCATAGTAATTTTCGAAACTATATCAATAAGTTCAAAATTCAACAAACAAAATGTAATATTTNCATAGACATTAGTCATAAAATAGTGGAGTTGTTATTCTTATTTTATTATAAATAGGAAGAAATGTATGCTAGGTGCTCATGGCTTATGGTCATCATTCAATAATGTTATATCAGTCTTTTGTTTATTTTTTGCTTTCTTTTTGTATTTTCTTCTCCCACATGTCCTTCCATTTGGATTGATCACTATAACAATTGGTGTAAAGGAACGTGTTGACACGCTAAAAGTATAGCCCAAATCGAATAGCCCAAAGAATAAAGTCCAACTGGGCAATTCAGGATAAAGGCACAAATAGAGTTATTAATGAATGCAGTGGAAGCCCACGAATGCGGTAATACCATCGCCCAAACTTGTAAGACGCCCAAGATCTGAGCGAATGAAGTGCCTTGCAATCGCCCAGGGTTATGACCCTATTCTCGCCCAAACCTTCGAATCGCCCAAAATCTTAGCAAACATAAGATGTTATGGTTATCCAAAAGTGCAGTTATCGAAACAGTTATTAAGTAATCTTATCACGTTCCACGATTCAAGGATGTTCAGTTGAAGATGGTTGAACGACAAAGAGTAGTGGCAGTAGTTAGAGACTGCAATTCCACGATTAGATGGCCACCATGAAGAAAGTGGGCAGTTATAAAGCAATTAAGCGGTTTCTAAGCGGTTGATCATAAAGAGATCATCAAGGAAATATAAAAGGAAGAAAAGACGTAGAGAAAAGGACCCCTAATCAAACACTCTCAAATAGAGAATATGTAATTTCAATTTCTTAGTTTAGGCTTAAACATTTCTTTCAGTACTCGTGTGCTTGCACCCCTTGGAAGCATTCTGTTTAAGTTCCAATTGTAAAGTCATCGCCAATAAAACACCTCTTTTTGGGACTTTGTCTCAAGAGCTTTGTTCCTTACACAATCGTCTGATCCCTTTTTAATTGTTAGCGACAACCCGCGCGAAACAATTTGGCACGCCCGATGGGATATTGATGTTTGGTGTTGAAGATACAAAAGGTAAAACAATATGCCTCAGAAATCCGGTAAGGAAGCAGCAAGCCAAGGAGGAGTCC